TCACGTCGGGGGTCACCAATATGTGGTGCTGTGGGGCAGTTCACCACATATCAGTGACTGGATTTTACGTTAATCAGAAATGGAGAATATCAACCTGGTGCGTGTTCCAAAAATTCAATCAGTTCGATCCAAACGGCCCCAAGTAAAAGAATTAATTAAAAGAGCGGGTTGTTATATTTAAATTACCAAAACGAAGTCAAAAACCAAAACAGCGAATCAGACAATGGAGCGACGAAGAGACGAGAATGAAATCCAAGTTTGCCAAATATGCCCTGCCTAATCTAAGTTATAAATCCCGGACAGAACGGGCCAAATCGCGGAGCCAGACGTGACGCGTCTGCTCGGGCCAAGAGCTCGGCCAGAAGTCCCGGGGTAGCGCGCGGCCCGACGCAGCGGGCCGGGTCCAGACATGCGCAGAAGCACTCGGACACCACGTGGCTGCCGATCGGAGCGCGGATTGGTCACTGGCCGACGCACTGCGGCAGCGCAGGCCGCAGACACGCGGTCGCATCGTGATGGGACAAAGTTCACGAACAGACACGTCCTGGGCCGCCTCCCCAGCGCCGGGGCGGGGTAGCGACGTCACAAGTCGGCGCGCGAATCGGTCTGCGCCGGGAACTCCCGTGCCGGCCGGCGACACACGTGGTTACCACATGGTATTGCAGGGACGTTTCTTATAGGTATCTTGGCAGGAACCATCGATAGTCATGTTTAGCTGGATAAGCATTTCAAACATTCGAGTTTATTGTTCATTGAATGAGGCAACTCTCTGCAATAAACGAACAGACCATTATGTTGAGTGCACAGTAGGTACATACGGTCATGCTCAGGTATGCCCCCACGGAAACGAGTGGATGCGAAACGCAGGCACGAGATCTTGTTGCGGAAGCTAAAAATGAAAATGAACGTGGTAACTTCCCCAGTAAGCAACATGATGGTCAAAATGCGATCGAGCTCCAAGCCCAATACAGCAGAAAAAATACTCTGCTGCTCACCGGAAAGGTGATCCCTACATTCGTTCAGGGGGAGGCCACTAGGCAAATTGTTGTGGGACTCCTTCGGGAGTACCTTGGCATGGATGTGCACCCGCGTGCGATTGCTGCCTGCCACCGACTCAGCAACAAGTCCACCATCCTAGTCCGCTTCTTGGACCTGGACGAGCGGATGGCCGTATACAGGCAGAGGCTGTCTCCCAAAAAGCGTGGACTCTTCATCCACGAAAGCCTGACCAGCGAAAGGCTGGCAGTAATCAAAATCCTCCAGGAACTTCATAAGCCGCGTGAGTCATCCCCGTTCATCTCATACTACACATCCATGGGTAGAATCTTCATCAGGCTGAGTGATCAGGCAAAGCCGGGTTCAGTCAGGACCGTGGAACTCCATGTGGGAGTCACGGAGGGTCAGATCCTGGACATTTGCAGGGCTCATGGTCGTCCGATGGATGTTGGTCGCAGTGACCGTCCCCGACACCAGGGGGCGGGTGGTCGGCGCCCTCGGGATGGTGTTGGGGGTCGGGGTGCTGGCGGGCCGGCCCGGGGCGGTGAAGCCTCCCTGACCCGCTCCGGCCAACCTGGTCCGGACCCGGCCTCTGGCCGTCCCTCGGGTGCTGGTGATGCGATTCAGCCTCGTGCTGTGGTGACCGGCCCTGAGGTGCCTGGCGCCCCTGGTGCTGTTGCTCCTGGTGCTGTTGCTCCTGGTGCTGCGGCCCCGGGTGCCGCTGCGCCTGGTGCTGTGGCTCCTGGTGCTGCTGTGCTGGGTGCTGCTGCTCCTGGTGGCGCGGCCCCGGGTGCTGCGGCTCCTGGTGCTGCTGCTCCTGGTGGTGTGGCTCCTGGTGCTGTGGCTCCTGGTGCTGTTGCTCCTGGTGCTGCGGCCCCGGGTGCCGCTGCGCCTGGTGCTGTGGCTCCTGGTGCTGCTGTGCTGGGTGCTGCTGCTCCTGGTGGCGCGGCCCCGGGTGCTGCGGCTCCTGGTGCTGCTGCTCCTGGTGGTGTGGCTCCTGGTGCTGTGGCTCCTGGTGCTGCGGCTCCTGGTGCTGCGGGTCCTGGTGCTGCGGCTCCGGATGCTGCGGCTCCGGATGCTGCGGCTCCGGATGCTGCGGCTCCGGATGCTGCTGCTCCTGGGCTGGTGCACTGACTTACCTAGACTCGCCTGGTTGAGGCACCTGTAAACAATTGTTATGCCTGTCCCATGTCATTGGTGCAGATTGAGCCCACCGTCCTGTTGTGTCCTATCATGTGTGTCCTCATGCTGAGTGTTGACAGCTGTTTCCACTCCGTGTTTTTGGCAAACAGTTTTTTTTCTCTTGTGTTTTTGGCAACCTGTTTTTTTTTTTGTCTGCTTTGTCTAGTCTCTGCTTTTTTGCTCGCTGTTTCTGTGGCTAGGTTTTGTTGTCGTTTCTGTTCTCCTGTTCCCTTCCCACACCACCCTGACACCTGTGAATGTAACTGGCAAATTTACACCTACTTTCTCAACCTTGGGTAATGATGTCGACTCCCCACTTCCCGAGTACCATTCTCTCCTTGAGTCCTGCCAGTACACTGCACTTGGTGACTTCAACGGGCTTAGCTTAGCCCAAACGAGTCTGCTTATCTTGCACTTAAATATTAGATCCCTTCCAAAGAACTTTGACGTACTTGAACACTTTGTGCAGAACCTTAGTATAAAACCTTTTGCAATTTTTGTGAGTGAAACGTGGCTTGATGATGCTATTTCTGACTCTTTCAACCTAGTTGGCTATAACCTCGAAACCTCCTCTCAACTAGACCACAGAGGCAAAGGTGCTGCTGTTTATATTAGAAATACTGTGGCCTACTCGAGAAGAAAAGATCTTGAGTCGAGCATTCAGCAATACCAATCTATCTTTGTGGAACTTAAATCTACTCGGAATAAAAACATTGTTCTTGGGGCAGCCTACCGTTCACCCTCATTTCCTTCCATCCAGTTTGTTGATTATTTGGAAGAAATCTTAGTAAAAATAAACAATGAGCGTAAAATTTGCCTCATTGGAGGTGACTTTAACATAGATATCCTGAAACATCAAAATGATGATACTTGTTCCAGTTTTATTAACTTGTTATCCTCATTGGGCTTTTATCCCTGTATTTGCCTTCCAACTCGAATTACTTCCCACTCTTCAACTTTAATTGATAATTTTATTTGCAATGATCTTTCTTATATAACGTCCCCTACCGTCATAGCACATGATATTAGTGATCATCTTCCCATAAGCATCTGCCTTAAGGTTAGTGATGATTCCGGGGAAGGATCACGGGCCAAGCATAATAACTCATTTGATTTTAGAAATATAGATGCTCTCAAACGTAGCTTGGCAACAAAATTATCGCGTTTCTTCCAAATTATTGATGCTGAGGTGGCTGGCACTTTTCTTACAGACACCTTGAGCAATGAAATACTGCATCACAGTACTAAAAAGGTCAGTAGAAGATCCACACCTTTCCAGCCTTGGATCTCTTTTGGGCTTCTACGCTGTATTAATAAGAAAAATTATCTCCATAAAAAATTCTTACATTCTCCCACAAAACGTAATGAGGATGCATTCAAGAAATATCGCAATACCTTAATTCAACTCATCAGGACTGCTAAGGCTCAATATTTCAAACGTAAACTTAATGAAAACAAGTCTGACTCCAAGAAGGTCTGGGAAGTGCTTCTCACCATGATCAGGAAAAAGAAGCCCAATGAGGATCTCCCTTCCTATTTTGTTATTGATGGTGCTAATGTCTATCAACCCGATTTAATCTCGGATCGTTTCAACACATTTTTTTGCAATGTGGCCACGAACCTTGAGGCTTCCATTCCCCCATCAGTAATTAATCCTCTTTCCTACCTTGGCGATAACCCACCTACCAATCTATTCCACTTTAACCCTACTAACCATGATACCGTGCATCACCTCATACAGAGCCTAAACAATTGTGGTGCAGGCTCTGACGGTATAAGTACCAAAATCGTCAAATTACTTTGCCCAGAGCGCTGTTCGGCGGCCGGCTAGCGCGCTAGCCCGCGCACACATACGTGCACGTTGCCCCGGCAACGGGCTATTGACCAATGAGAAGCGCGCTACGGGGGGCACAGGTATATGAAAAATCGCAGTGACGTTGCACTTTCCTCGCTTCTCATTGGTCAATAGCCCGTTGCCGGGGCAACCAGCACGCATGTGAGCGCCGGCAAGAGTACTAGCCGGCCGCCGATCAGGGCACAGATATCGTTCCCTACCTTACCCATCTCTTTAATCTTTGTCTCCTCCAAGGCACATTCCCAAGTAGCTTTAAAAAGGCAATCGTTGTCCCTATTTAAAGGTGGGAACAAATCAGTGCTGCCAGATTTGGAGGATTTCCGCAAATCTGGAGGATTTTGAACTCTATTTGCGGACAAATTTCGCGTTTGGAGGATTTTTGATTCTGGAGGAAAATCTGGAGGATTTGTCACCCGATTAATATATTCAATTTCATGGAAAAATACAACGCGTTCAAGACTCAAAAGACATTTTCCTGCCCAGCTTCACCCTACCCGTTAGGATATATCACTGCCCTTTATCACCGTGAGACTGGAATGTCTCAGTCTGTAGCTATATCCACGAATATCATGGTGACTATTTGTTCCTATTTCGTGTACGATTGTACCATATGTTTTTGAAGGTACCGAACTACTGGCGGATCAAAGGGGGACATTTGGCGCAAATTCCCCCCCCCCCCTCCTGCAGCGTCCAAAATCGAAGAAAATTTTCGTTTTTTTTCAAGGATAAAACGAAAACTAAACAACTTTTATTATAAAAAAGCATCTTTTAAACTACACAGCAGTGCGAAAGGAATCGAAATCCGATGAGTTTTTAGAATTTGGAGAAACCTTTTCGGAGATATGCCCTCCCGCAGCGTCCAAGACCGCCTATCTGGATCCGCCAATGGGATTTGGAGGAATCTGGAGGATTTTTGTAACTGATCTGGAGGATTACAGCCTTCTCCATCTGGCAGCACTGGAACAAATTTTTGTTTAACAACTATCGACCCATCGCCTTACTGCCGATCCTTTCTAAGATTCTGGAAAAAATCGTATATTCTCAATTGTCTTCTTATTTAGCAGTGGAAGGAATTCTTCATCAAAATCAATTCGGCTTTCGCAAAAATCATAGTACTTTCATGCCTATCTCCGTTCTTTACGAACACATTACAAATGAATTAAGGAGGAGGCAAGTATGTGCGGCAGTCTATTTGGACCTTTCTAAAGCCTTTGATACTGTCAACCCCAAAATTTTACTTCAGAAACTGAACTTCTATGGTATACGGAACAAGTCGCTCGACTTTTTTCATTCGTACCTAACTGGTCGCTCTCAAGTACTAAAGTACAACTCATTTACTTCCACCTCCTCCAAACCTATCACGCTCGGTGTGCCCCAAGGCTCCATTTTGGGCCCCCTCCTCTTTCTTCTCTACATTAACGATATACACCTCAGTTCTAACGTGCCTCATTTTCTTTTGTACGCTGACGATACCGCCCTTCTCTTTTCTGCCCCTTCCGTTGATCAACTTCAAGTAGCTATAAATAATAGCCTCCCTAACGTAGCTTCTTGGCTTAACAGCAACAGGCTGACATTGAACGTTAAAAAGTCTACTTATCAATTATTTTCTATTCAGCACCGTGTGTCGGATATTAACATAAGCATTGGTGGCAGCCTTCTTGCCCGCAGTCACTCTTTCAAATATCTAGGCGTTACTATTGATGAGAATCTTAAATGGAGTAGCCATATTAAGCACGTCGAAAACACTATCGCGAGAAACATCGGACTTATAGGACGCTCTCAATTCATGCTCGACTCGAATTATCTTCTCTTGCTCTATAATGCCCTTATCCTCCCATTCCTTAACTATTGCCTGCAAATTTGGCCAGGGGGTAGCACATACCCCTCCAATACTTCTAAATTAGTAATCCTTCAAAAGAGAATTGTCCGAATTATTGATCACGCTCACCACCGAGACCACACCAATCCTCTTTTCAAAAAATATAGTATACTGAAATTTCATGACCTAGTTAAATTTTCGCTCATTAATATAATGCACTCCTTCATGACGGGTACCCTCCCTTCGGCCATAGCCGATTACTTCACGGCTTGTCCACAGAACGACCTACGGTCCGTTCGATCTCCTCAACATTTTCAAGTTCCCTTTGCCCCTACAAACTATAGAAAATATTCACTATATGTTCAGGCACCTGCTGTCTGGAACGAAATTATAGCTAGTAATTTGCCCAACTTAGAGGATGTTCCTAGATCCAAGTCATTTTTCAAAAAGGTAGCGAGGAAAATATTTATTGATAGTTACTGAACCTTGAGGGGTTGGCTCCTGTGCATGTGACACATTTGCAGGTAGCTCTTCTCTCGTGTTGATGTCCTCCCCGTGTGTGCGCTGGCGGGACTCTGCTACCTCTGACATCCCTGATCCTATTCCCAAGTCACTCCTACCCTCATCTGTGTCCGTCTTTGATCTTTAGTTTGGATATATTTTATTTATATTTGTTCTTACTTCCTCGTTAATACTTACATTTTTAGTACCTCATTTTTATGTTACTAAATCTTTTATTTCGTTTACTGTCAGTCACCAGAATTTGGATGAGTGATTACTGTATACTGTCCTGTGCCGTGTGTGTCTTGTACTGTCCTGTGCTGATGTATGTCTTGGTAAACTATTGTACATCTTCTTTTTCCAATATGCTGTGGCCTTTTGTCTGCTCCCCTTTCTTCCACGCAATTTTCTTTTAAACCCCACCCCTAAACGCCAGTCATTTGGAAGCTGATATATTCACTGGTGTATACATAGCGGTCGATATCTCTGATGGGCTATAGGGCGCCGACCACAGGCTCTGCCTTACGGGCCTTGCCTTCTCACCGTGCTCACTTCCCTTTCCGGCCCCTCTCTCTACCCACTCTTTACCAGCTTCCTATACCTCATCTTACTCACCTCGCTTACCTCCCCAGGACACGGGGGACTTCACTGATGATTGGGTGCTCTGGGCCGGTGAAGCCTAACTGTCTGGATGGACGCCAGGGATCGTAGCCCTCTGGCCGTGGCTGCGCCTGTGAGACATCCAGGAGGGACACCTCGTCTGCTGTTGGCCGCGGGCCAGGACCGGACTGTGATGTGTCCAGCAGTGACCCCTCGTCTGCTGTTGGCCGCGGGCCGGGGCCGGACTGTGTCGCTCCTACTGCAACTTCCAGGAAGACCTGATTGAGCAACCCACGGCCATGTCCGGCGTGAACTGGATCTCCGGCAGTGATACTGCCCTAACTTTTTGTGTATCGACATGCCGGACCGCCGCACGTGCCGCGGGCGGTGACCGGCTGCCCCGGCGGGTACATACTGCTTGGCCGGGTGGTGGCGGCGGGCGTGCGGTTACTCACCGATCTGAAGTCTTCGCCGGGGCTCTGCGTGGCTGAGTTGGAGAGTGTTGCAGTCTCGACGTGCTGGAGAGGAGTGACGGCGGTGCGAACGACGCAGGTCACATCTGGCCCTCTGTGCGTCAGTCGCCATCGAGAGGCGACGTGAACTGGATCCGGTACTCCGACTGTGGCTGCTCTCGGTGTGTTGTGGTTGGCATGTATGCACTTTCCGTGACATACCTATACTAGTCACCCACGCGGCGCCGGCCTCCCGCACTCGTTGCGGCTGGTACGATTGCTGACGCCTGAATCCGTGTGCTGCCACCTGACGGCTGATAAATGAACTTAAGCCCACGCGTGTGCCCGTGTTCGACCGTTAGTGTCATAAAACGGTGCGTTATCTCTGTGATGCGGCTGGGATGTGGTCGGTCGCCACTTACGATATGCTGATGCAGGCGTCATCATGTGTTCATATGATCATCATATGATCATATGCGTCAGTATATGATATATTGATGGTTTCCGGATGCTCTACTCCGTGACCAATGACTAGCTGCGCTCGCTAGCATGGCGACATGCCTACTGCCGGTGTCACGCCCGACTATGCGGTTCCGGTGCGGAGTTTGATTTATCTTGCACTCATGGTTGATGGCCTATTTGACGCTACTGGCATCTCCCTAACCTCTAACAAATAACATGTCTACTTTACTAATTTATTAACTGTGACTGTCCCTGTTCCTATTCCCTGCCCGCCAGTAGCGCCACCTGTATATGAACTTGCACCTCATCATGTTCACTGTTTGCAATATACCGCCGGTGGAAACCGGTCATGGATTCAAAAGAGACATGGCATAATCCGCATTACAGGAAGGTCTGGAACGCATGTGAAAGAAACACTGGATGACTCGTAAAGCACACGCAGTTACGACGAACACACGAGTGCGCACATGACTCGTAAAACACACGCAGTGACGACGAACACACGAGTGCGCACACCGGGCGCTTGTCGGGTACATGTTGTGCATCACTGGGCGCTAGTAGTCGGTAAGCAGCACATAGGTGGCGCAGAGATACTACAGATCGAGAACATCACGTGCGAACCGTCGGCGACCCCGAGAGGACGGTGGCAGCTCCCGGTCTGAGCGAGGGGTGGTTAGGGAACGCGAGCACGGGTGACAGTGATTCGGGAGACACACCGGTATAGCAGTAGGCTGCAGAGCTGGGCATTGCGCAACTTAAGTCCGCAACTCCGCAACTCCGCAACTTGCGGACTACCCTCTTGGTAGCGGAGTTACGGATCGGCTACCGAGCCCAAAAAAGTTGCGGAGTTGCGAGTTGCGGAAGCGAAAAATTCTAAAGCGCAACCGCTACCGGGGCCGCCACCGCTGGTGGGGGCGCCACTGTACTCTTTGCACTCCACTGCACACTGCACGTGTTTCCAGGCTAGTTTTTGAAGCTGATTTCGAATTTAATGACCGTTTGAACATTTACGAAGTAGTTTTAGTGCCTTAGTAACATGTTACGAGGCTTTCAGTGGTGGTTGACACTGGATAGGCGGTAGGACGCCTACTGGTTGACCTGACCTGACCTGACCCGACCAGGCCCAAATGCATGAAGGCGTCATCTTTGATCAAAACCAACATGAAATTTGTTATCAGCGCCCCCCAAAAAAGCATAAAAGCTTCACTTTACGAAGTTCTAGCAGGTCCGATTTTCCCGACTTTTGGGTCATTGACCTGGCCTGGAAGGTCAACCAATGACCTATGATGACCTTAAAATTGGGTATCATCGGCTTCCTCTCGTCACGGGCAACACGCTCGTTTTTTTCCCGCGAAGCTCTAGCTCGATCAGGGGCCGAACGGCAGGGGGGGGAGGGGGTCCAACCGACGCACACGTTAGACGCTGTAAAACACCGCACACAGCGAGGGTTAAGTCAAATTTTATGGTCACCAGCACGGGGCCGGGGGCGGGGGGGGGGGGTGTTTGGACACCCCTCCGTAAGGTTTTCCGCAAATATATAAAAAAGGCGGCGGCAGCGCGGCTGTTTTCGACACTGCTATTAACACATCCTTTCCACTCATTGTATCAACATGTCAGACCCAGGTCACCTCAGGTCAGGTCACCAGGTCAAGTCAAGGGACCCAATATCCGAAAAAAATTAAACACCCGCCCTAGCAATACAGGGCAATATAGCAATATAGATACACCTATTGACCGATATCACTTTGAGACTGTCTGCATGTGACAAGGGTAACAAGATATAGGTACAAAGTGTATTGTCTCATATTTTTTTTTAATATTTGTGACTTAAGGTAAGGTCAACTGTGTGACCTCTCCATTATAAGTCAATAGGAGAAAATACAACTCGTCCGGATTTGCGGCAAAATGATCCCAAACAATTAAAACATGCAAAGAGTAGCACTGGCAGGTCATTTACGTCGACTGGTGTCGCAATGACTTGCGCATAGAGCATTATAGGTCACGTGACGTCATCAGAGGTCACCAACAGTCAGGTCACCAACAGAGGTCAACCAAAGGTACTACCTGTCAGACATAACACTGCACTTCAAGACTAAAACTGATAAAACATAGGAACCTAATAGAGGTTGGTAGCGGAGTTGCGGAGTTGCGGAGTTGCGAGTTGCGGTTTTACGATCTGCAAAATAGTTTCGGAGTTGCGATTGCGCTTTGGGTACCTTAGGTTGCGGAAGGTAGCGGTAGCGGTTTCCAAATTTCGGTAGCGATGCCCACCTCTGGTAGGCTGTCGGTCAGGGGAGTGCGTCCCTGATTCAAGGGCCACAGCTGGAGGGGTCGCCGAGGGCGATGAGGCGGCGTTTGCAGGATCTGGCTCTGGACTGGGGCCCTGCGCGGGGGGCGGAAGTGACTCAGCCCCGTCGGTCTGGGACGGTGGTGTGCCAGTCAGCGAAGACTGAGCAGTGCCAGGTCGCAGCTGTGGGTGGTGCAGACCGTGATCGGCGGGGTGGGGCCTGGGCGCGGGAAGAGGGACAGTAAGTGTCGTGTGCGCGAGGGGTACAAACGAGCGCAAGAACTTCCGATTGCGTAGGGTCATCCGTCGTGATCCGTCGAGCATGATCTGGTATTGCCGAAACGGCAATGCGGCCACCACCACTCCACGGCGGTCCCAGTTTCGAGGGTGGTTGCCCGACTGATTTTGAACCAGCACATGCTGGCCAGCTTTTAGTGGAGGCAGGTCCTTAGTGTGTGCTTGCAGACGCTCATGGTCACGAGAGGTGCGCTTGGCTAGTGCTTTCTCCCTCCAGCATGCGACATCTTGCCACGTCTGGCTGAGATCCTTGTGGTTACGTAGGGGGGGCTGCAGCGGTAGCCCTGGGAGGAAGTCCCGCAACTGTCTCCCGAGGACTAGCTCAGCTGGGGACAAGCCGGTGTCTCTGTCAGGGGTGTTGCGGTGCTGCAAGAGTGCGCGAGTGAGTTTCACAGAGTCGAGGGACCCATCAGCAGTGACGTTGTCCCGTATGAGGCGTTTGGCCGTTTTCACAGCGACCTCAGCACGGCAGTTCGCGTGAGGAAAAGCGACCGATGTGAGGCGGTGGTGGATCCCGTGCTGAACGAGGAAATCCTTTACCTCTTGGGCCATGAACTGAGGCCCACCATCACTTGTGAGTGTTTCGGGGACCCCCAGACCGCGGCAGAGTTCCAGGAGGACGTCTTTTAGGCTGATGCCGCGCCAGATCTGAAACCAATTGCTGAATCGGTCAACAACGACCCCGTATGTGTTCCCCATGTACGTGAAGTAATCGGCAGCCACGTGTTGGAATGGATATTCCGGCGTGGCTGGTGGGATAGGCGGCATGTCGGCCTGTGATGGCGCATGTCTGTTGCAAGCCGCGCAGCGTTGCCGGACCGCTTCAATGTCCTGGGACATGTGGGGCCAAAACACGGAGCGTTCCGCGCGTAGCCTCATGCCAGTCACTCCCTGGTGCGCGGCATGGAGGGTGTCTAGGACACGGGACCTGAGAGCCTCGGGGATGACAGGTCGGCCGTGGAAGAGAAGGACGGGCCCCGACGTGCTGAGGTCGTGCCGGATGCGCCAAAGAGCGCGGAGTGGATGAGGGAAACCATCCGGACACGCAGGGAATGACGTGTTCGCCATTTGAACTGCCTGGCGGATGATGGGGTCTTGTTCCGACGCCCGAGACAGGGTGGGCCAGTCGATCGGTTGCAGTGCTGGCGACACCGAGCACAGAATGTCGGAGTCGTCTTCATCACCTGGATCCTGCGGGCGTGCCATTAGAGAGAATAGGTGATGGAAAGAGTAGCCCTCATCGACCACAAACAGCTCGTCGATCTGTGACTCGACAAAGCTGTCATCGGACCCCTCGCGCTGTTCCCTCACACCATACCTCGAGAGAGCGTCGGGGCCTCCATGGAGGCGACCCGGGACGTGGACCAGAGAGAAGGACCAGCCGAAGCTTTTCTCTTTTAGGCGTCTCAGCCTAGGATTGTCTATGCCGTCCAGGGAACGGTCGCCGAAGATACCCAGGAGAGGTTTGTGGTCGGTTCCCACCACCAGTTGGTCACAGCCGAGTGTAAAGTATTTAGTTTTTTCGAGGGCATTGGTGACGCTCAATGCCTCGCCCTCTGTTGGGGAATAGCGACTCTCGGCGCTAGAGGTGAACCGAGACCCGACGCCACACACACGCCACCCAGCGGGGCAGCAGGTCGGCTTGAGTTCGGTGCAGGTACAGTGTTTTTGAAGGAGGACGTACCCGAGTCCTGTTTTACACCAGTCCGTGAGGATGCACGTGGGCTTGGCGCGGTCAAACGACTGGATTCCCTTCTCCACCTCCCGAGCGATGACCTCCCTGGTGTTTCGGAACAGCTGGTCCAGAGTCTCGTCCCAGTACCAAGGACAGTCCTTCTTAAGGAGGGCGCGGAAGGGGAGGAGTTTAGGCTGGGTGGCATAGAAAGCCGACACTTGATTGACCAGAGCCATGAATGATCGAAGGTCGGTCACCGAGGTCGGCGTCGGAAACGACCGAATAGCCTCCGTGTGGGACGGCAACGGTCGGACGCCGTCAGGGCCCAGACGAAAGCCGGCCCAGTCCACGGTCTTTTCACAGAACACGAACTTGTCGCGGTTCTGGAGGATGCCGTTTCGGCCACAGAGCGTCAGATACTCCGCCGCATGTTGGAACATGCATCGAATCGTGGGCTGGTACAGGATGGAGTCGTCGATGACCCTGTCACAAGACTTCACATTCAGTGTGACCCGATCGAATCGGTGAGTGTAGGCATCTCCGGAGACCTTGTACCCTTGAGGGACGGTTTTGTAGCGGTACCTGCCCCATGGTGTCAGAAAGGTCGTGAGGTGGCGGTCCGATTCGCGAATGGCGACGGAGTGGTAGCCGTTGAAGGCATCTGTAGTGGTTTTCCACTGATCCGCGGGCACGGCCATGGCTTTTTGGAAAGGGGGCATTGTGGGATGCGTCTGACGGATGCTGGCCTCGTTGAGGGCCTGGAAGTTGATGGTTCGGCGGGGCTCGCCGTTGTGCTTGCGGGTCACTACCATTCGTGAGCACCACGTGACTGGCTCGTTGACGTCTACTTTTTCCAGTACCCCCATGGCGACGTCCCTGTCAAGGTCCCGACGCACCCTGTCTTCCCAGTGTAGGGGAACGACAGCTGGTGTGTACACGGCGTGAGGGGTCGCGCCAGGCTTCACGGCGAACTCGAGGGGTGGGCCGTGCATGAGGGGGAGGGGCTGGTGGCAGCAAGTGTTAAACGTGGATGACGCGTAATGGTCGAGCAGCAGCTGCTTCAGGGCAGGGATGTCAGCATCGGTGGGGTTATCTGGCAGAG